CCCTCTCCTCAGTGCCTTCGCCGGGTGAGGCAGGTGTCAGGAGTGCCTGGCGGGTGGAGGTGGACCTGGGACTCAAGTCTTCGCACCTGTAGATCTGGGTCTTGCCCATCGCCCGGCTGCCTCCCGGAATTCCTGGACCCCTGGGTGCGGGATTAGCCCGGGCCGGACCAGCCTCAGGCCCCGTAGTTTTGGATTTGGGTGTGTTTTAAATTCGAAGTGCGACCATTGCCACCCTTCTGCACTCTACAGTAACAGCACCTGCTGTTGTTGGGTAGTGGGCGCAGAGAAGGCATTTTGTGTACTGTATACGCACCTCACGCAAGAGAGAAATTATTTCTATTAAGATAGAGCGTCTGTTCAGGAGAGCCTCACTTACTGCCTTAGCAGAGTTGTACCGCATCTTAGTTCTGACCTAGTCTGAGCTCAGCATGCTTCCTGTAACTTTGCCCAGGACTGCAGGAATCCCGTAAGTAGTAGATGTAGCCCAGGAATATAATCCGATGCTGGAAATGACATTGACATCAGGGTTTCTCACCTTGGCCATTGACGTTTTGAGGAAGACAGTTCTTTGTTGTGGGTGGTGGTTCTGTGCGTTGTGGAATGTTTAGCAGAGTCCCTGGCCTCTACCCGCTGGATGCCAGCAGCCCTGACACGAGTTAGGACAACCAACAGTGTCTCCAGGCATTGCCAGATGTCCCTTGGGGGACAAATTGCCCCAAGTTTAGAAACACTGTTGTACAGTTAGGTGACTACTGCAGCCATACCTAGAGCAGCAAGAATGTGGAAGCAGTCCAAACGTCCTGTACAACAGGACAGTGGGTGTTGAGCTGTTATCATCCAGCCATTAAAGAAGCTGGCGTTGAAAGTAGAACATGAAATACGGTGACCTGGAAATATGCAAAGTATTGTAATTTCATTATCTACATGTGGATGAGGATGGGAGGGGAATATGCAAAATTAATAATAGTTTGGATTGTAGTTGATAATTCGTGTCTATAAGTTTTCTTTAATGTTTTAATAACGAAATATAAGAGGTGTTGTTTGTTTGTTTGCTTTTTATGTAATTGCCTGCCCTCTTCTCCTCTCCCCCATACCTCTTCCCCTCTCCCCCATACCCCTCTAAGTAGTAGATGTAGCCCAGGAATATAATCCGATGCTGTAAATGACTGTTGACATCAGGGTTTCTCACCTTGGCCATTGACGTTTTGAGGAAGACAGTTCTTTGTTGTGGGTGGTGGTTCTGTGCGTTGTGGAATGTTTAGCAGAGTGGCCTCTACCCGCTGGATGCCAGCAGCCCTGACACGAGTTAGGACAACCAACAGTGTCTCCAGGCATTGCCAGATGTCCCTTGGGGGACAAATTGCCCCAAGTTTAGAAACACTGTTGTACAGTTAGGTGACTACTGCAGCCATACCTAGAGCAGCAAGAATGTGGAAGCAGTTCAAACGTCCTGTATAACAGGACAGCGGGTGTTGAGCTGTTATCATCTGGCCATTAAAGAAGCTGGCGTTGAAAGTAGAACATGAAATACGGTGACCTGGAAATATGCAAACAAAGTATTGTAATTTCATTATCTACATGTGGATGAGGATGGGAGGGGAATATGCAAAATTAATAATAGTTTGGATTGTAGTTGATAATTCGTGTCTATAAGTTTTCTTTAATGTTTTAATAGCGAAATCTAAGAGGTGTTGTTTGTTTGTTTGCTTTTTATGGAATTGCCTGCCCTCTTCTCCCTCCCCCATACCTCTTCCTGTCTCCCCCATACCCCTCCCTCTCTCCTCCATACCCCTTCCCCCTCTCCTCCATATCCCTTCCCCCGTTCCCTTTACCCCCTCCCCACTCCCACCAACCTCCCTTCTTCCAAGGGATGCCTGGAGAGAATGAGGAACAGCCGGGACAGGCTCCTGGACAAATACCGACAGGCTGGAGGCAATGTGCCAGGGAGGGCTCAGAGCACCCTTCTCGCACAAGAGTTGATGGAAGAGGAATGGAATGCTTGGCACTCGATGGAAAGCTGCCCAGAGGCCTTGGCTCAGGTCAGGCTGGGATGTGTTTCCCCCATATACTCTCAAACCTACAGTCAGGATTCCCCCATATACTGCCTATTTCCCCCATATACTCTCAAACCTACAGTCGGGATTCTAACAGCCTTTAACCCAGTTTCGTCTACTTTTACGTTAGTCTGTTTTAAATTAATGGTTCCTAAGTACCAGACTGTTGACCTGCTGCATCATTGCATTATATTCAATTATGAAACTAAAAAGAAAGTAATGTTACTCCTTGGCTACAGCCTGGACGTTTTGATGCAGTGGTCATGGAGCTAGAAATCTTGCTTTTTAAGGTCTCCAGGAGCTTTCTGATTCTAACCTCAGTCAGAGGTGGGAGCTGAGT